ATTGGCCTTCAGCAGGAAAGAATTCAATTTTGTAATAAACTTTCGGGTAATTGCACACATAATCAGGGCATGTTTAGTCCATTTGTTGGCTATTGTGAGGGTCAGTTATTATTTCTCTTCCCTTGTTTCAAGGAATGCCATACTTTTAAGGCCGATGTTCAGAGCTTTAATTAACAACACGGACAAATGAACTGAACTTTGGACATTTCTTTTATTTATTTATTTATTTATCTATTTATTTATTTGGTTTTAAGATCTGCCACCTTTTTGCACTTTATGTTAAGGTCACAGTTGATGGTGTCTTTCATTCTTCCCATTTCTTTTGTTCGACTGTAATTGAAGTTTAGGAAGGGTTTTCCTGGATTTTTTTTTTTTTTGGACAAATTCCTCAGATAAATTTGCATTCTGCTAAAAGGTGATGCATTTTCTTTTTGCAAAAATAAAAATTATAAAATTGTGCAGTTTTACAGAGCTGAGGGCATAATAAGGACATAGAGGATCAGGGACAGCTTCCTCTTGATCCTATGTTACATGATAGTAATAATGTTGCCATTAGCCATAGAGAAAGCAGCTGGTTTCTTATAGGTATTTATATAGTAAGGGGAATGAGATAGAGAATTTCTCCTCCCCAGATGTTGGAAAAGCTGATATTAAATTACAAGATCATCTTTCGCAATTACGTTTGACATACAATAATCCAAGAATCCATTCTTCTATGTATTTCCCAGTACTCATGATTCTCTTTCTCCCTGGCCACTCTGAAGGAGAGTTGTGTACAGCACAAAGGTCAGGGAACATACCTAAAAATTCTCAGTTCCCAGGAAAATCTGTACCCACTTCAGTCCAGCAACCTGACTCTTCCTTGAGGGAAGGCTTCACTCAAAGAAAGTGCTCTGCATCTAAAATTTTCACCTGAAAACAACAACAACAAAAAATATATTTTTTCTAGAACACTCTAGAGTTCAGAAATGGTGTGTGTGCGTGTGTGTGTGTGTAGGGGGGTATGCTCCAGTATTGTAGCTGAGAAGGGGAGTCTGGAATGTACAGGCTTTCTTGGGTTGTAGCTTCCTGTCACACACCTGCTCATCTCCAGGTAGTCATTAAATCTTAGGTCATTTAAAGAGGCAGCCAAAAAACGGTCATATTCATGGTCAGAAGGACTGAAGGTTGTCACCTGGCAGGCTTGTAACTTCTTACCTTTGCATGAAGCATACAAAGCTTTCTGGGTTTTGAGGCTCAGTGGTAGAGCTGCTGTTGAGTATGAGTGAGCTGTTGATGAATAGCCTTCTGCAGACAGGTAGGGGAGAAACAAAGCAAGGCATGTGCAGGTGGGGAAACACAGCCTGTCAAAACTAACATTAAGACTAGAGAGCCCTCATCTGTTAGTTTGTTGTCTAATTTCAAGGGTTATTGACCCAAATTCCTGTAATAGTCGATCTACCCCCCTACCCCAACCTAATCCTACCCCCTACCCCCTACCCCAATCTAATCCGCCCTGTCCCCGAAGGTAAGCTGTGTGCGGCTAGTTACCTTATCCCCTGTTTTCACCATCTATAGCATCAGACCAGAAACACAAAATGCACAAATGCTTATGAATAATTCAGGTCCCAGAGAGAAGGCCATTCGATGACCCAACACCAACCCTTCCCATCAATCCACATTGTTAAAGCTAACCCTGGGAAAGTCAACCTCCTTCAGATGTGAAAATATAAGGCAATTCTGATTTGCAAGCAAAGAGGTCCTCAAATAAGAAAATCAATTTAAACCCAAAGTGACATTTCAGTTTTATTCAGCCAGCATTGTCTGGCTTGCATTATTTAATAGGCTGTATCTACAATGACCTCTGAAGAGTTAAATCTCAGTAACAGTCGAGCCGAATGCTATCTATTATAATTTTGACTTTAATGATTAGAAACAGTGGGATTCATTACTCCAGAATGTCACCTCTGAAATGGTTTTCATTGCAGCTCATCTATTAGAAAGGAGTGTGGCCCCAAAGATCTTTCTGACCTCATTTGGGTCTTGTGACCCATTAGGTTAAGCATTTAAAACTTAAATCTAGTAAGAGCAGCTCCAGAGAACATTCTGACCAGCTGTGGTAGACAGTGACACCCTCGCTGTGCACAGCAGAGTCGTGCTCATCAAAAGCCAGAAGCTAAAATGCCTTAGAGGAGACATAAACTCTTTTAGACAAAACAAAACATTCTTTCTAGTTGCAAATTCTAAGTGTGTGTTTTTCTGTAGCGGAAGTTCTGCAAGGTCATCATGTGGGTCCCCTAACAATGGGAGTAGGGGCTGTCTCTGACTCTGTTGCCTGCCTTTGGATCCCTTTCCCCTAGCTGGGCTGCTTTGCCTGTCCTCAGTGGGAGAAGATGCACTTAGTCTGCTGTGACTTGATGTGCCAGGGTGGGTTAGTACCTTTAGGGTCCTCCCCTTCTCTAAGGAAAAGGAGAAGGGAGGATGGAGAGGAGGGGGCATGAGATTGGGACTGGAAGGAGAAGAGGGAGGGGGCTGGGATCATGCTGTAAAGTGATTAAATAAATGAATTTATTAAAAAATAAATTCTATGCCTAAGCATAGATTAAGCCATAGTGAGACAATGTGTCTCCTTGAAGTCCTGAAGAACGTCTTGCTTGCTCAAAAGGTGACATTTGATATCCATTTATTTCATAAACTTCACTTTGACTTCATATAGAAGTCAAAACTACTGTGGCCATTGGGAAGACTCAAACCTCAAATTTTAGTTTTGGAGATTCAGCTCAATCTGTGCTATGTGAGGGGTTACATTTCTCCCCTAAACTATTACTTGATCAGATTACCTGTGCACAATATAAGGTAAGATAGTACCATTCCTTACACCCCCAATTTTAAAACTGTTTCAGCAGAGAATGAAATTTCTGCATTTGTTAAAGACGTGAGTTGGAACACCCAAGAACAAGTTAGGGCAGGATTTGACAATAGTAGGCCAGAGCCACCCTGCCTGCTAGTCCTGGTTAATAAGATTTTGTTGGAACTAACCCTGACAGGGTCATTTTCAGATATTCTTCAAAGAATTTAGATTTAGGTTTAATCATGTGTACTTGTGTGTAGCTGTGTGTGCGTTTGTGCATGAGTGCAGTGCCTACAGAGGCCAGGAAAGAGTATTAGTTCTCGTCAAGCTATAGGTACAAGTGGTTGTGAGCCACCTAACACGGATTCTGGGAAACGGAGGGTGGTCCTTTGCAAGACCAGTGTGTGTTCTTAACTGATAAGACATCTATCCAGTCCCTCACTTTCAGTTTCCTGTTGCTGCTTTTCATAGCACAACAGTGGGATGTATCCAAGTTCAGGAGATGGAAGTCATGGAGAGAGAACAGCAATGCTTCAAGGAGACACACAATCTTAGTCTAATGTTTAAGCTTTTTTAAAAAAAACTTTAAATCCATTGTGTAAATGCACCACAATTTCTGTATCCATTCCTCTTTTGATGGACATCTGGGTAGTTTCCAGTTTCTGGCTATTACGAATAAAGCTGCTACAAACACGGTTGAGCAAATGTCCTTGTCGTGTACTTGAGTATCTTTTGGATATATGCCTAGGAGCAGTATAGCTGGATCTTGAGGAAGTGTTATTACTAATTGTCGGAGAAAGCACCAGACTGATTTCCAAAGTGGTTGTACAAATTTACATTCCCACCAGCAATGGAGGAGGGTTCCCCTTTCTCCACAACCTCTTCAACATGTGTTGTCACTTGAGTTTTTGATCTTAGCCATTCTGATGGGTGTAAGGTGAAAGCTCAGGGTTGTTTTGATTTGCATCTCTCTGATGGCTAAGAACGTTGAGCATCTCTTTAAGTGTTTCTCCGCCATTCTATATTCCTCTATAGAGAAGTCTCTGTTTAGCTCTGTACCTCATTTTTTAATTGGATTGCTTGATTTATTGCTTTTTAACTTCTTTAGTTCTTTATATATTCTGAATATCAGCCCTCTGTCAGATATGGGGTTGGTGAAGATCCTTTCCCAGTCTGTAGGCTGTCATTTTGTTCTGACAACAGTGTTCTTTGCTTTACAGAAGCTTTTCAGTTTCATGAGGTCCCATTTATTGATTGTTGATCTTAGAGCCTGTGCTGTTGGTGTGAATACTACTCAGCAATTAAAAACAAAGAAATCATGAAATTTGCAGGTAAATGGTGGGATCTAGAAAAGATCATTCTGAGTGAGGTATCCCAGAAGCAGAAAGACACATACAGTATATATACTCACTTATAAGTGTATACTAGACCTATAAGATAGGTTAAACATACTAAAATCTATACACCTAAAGAAGATTAACAGCAAAGAGGACCCGGGGTAAGATGATCAATCCTCACTTAGAAAGACAAACGGGATGGACATTGGAAGTAGGAGAAAACAAGTAACAGGACAGGAGCTTACCACTGAGGTCCTCTGAAAGACTCTACCTAGCAGTGTAGCAAAGCAGATGCTAAGACTCATAACCAAACCTTGGGCAGAGTGCAGGGAATCATATGAAAGAAGGGGGAGTTAGTATGACCTGGATAGGACAGGAGCTCCACAAGGACCAAATATATCTGTGCACAAGGGTCTTATATGAGACTGTTTCTCTAACCAAGGACCATGTATGGATATAACCTAAAACCCCTGCTCAGATGTAGCCCATGGTAGCTCAGTATCCAAGTGGGTACCCTAGTAAGGGGAACAGGGGCTATTTCTGACATGAACTCAATGGCTGGCTCTTTGACCTCTCCCCCAACCCCTGAGGGAGTAGCAGACTTGCTAGGCCACAGAGGAGGACAATGCAGCCAGTCCTGAAGATACCTGATAAGCTAAGGTCAGATGGAAGGGGAGAAGAACCTCCCCTAGCAGTGGACTTAAAAAGGGGCAGGAAGGATATGAGGGAGGGAGGGTGGGATTGGGAGGGAATGAGGAAGGGGGCTAAGGCTGGGATACAGAGTAAATAACCTGTGATTAATATAAAAAATTATATAAAAAAACCTTTAAATCCCTGTCCCTAGAGGCTTTGTAGGTGTGGCTGCTGTGTCACACTTGCACCAGTAAGTGGCAGGAAGGAGAGAGGCCAGTCTGTGTTCAGTGTTCTGACCTGTGAGTATCAGAATGATTAGTAGCCTAACTTTCCCTGAAAACAGAGAGCCTGAAATGACTGCCAGTCAGGCCCCAGGGGGCCTGGGCTGGGAGCTAGCCTGAGATGACTAGGTCAGTGCTGCTGCACAGGCCCAAAAGGGAGACAAGAAGACCACAGGCCCTGCGCAGGACTGAACCTGAAACAGACCACTCTTACATGGAGTCACTTGGGCAGGCCTGGGAGAACAAGGAGTGAGCCCAGTCAGGCACCATGCAGGCCTGGGAAAGTGGGCCCAAGATGACCCCTGCCCAATGCCGTAATACACAAGTATGGTGTAGCACTCCTAAGTAAGGCAGAACACTCCTGAGACCACTCCTGAGACAACCCCAGACACTCAGAGACCCCTGTGCCCCACAAGGAGGAACAAGTAAGTAATGGAAGAGAAAGAGAAACAGAAGGGTGTGAGCCCAATGAAGAGAGGCAGAACTGGAGACTCAAGGGTAGTGAGACACAGCCTGATGTGAGTAGTTGGTGATGCCACCTGGGACCAAGCTGGGGTCCCGGGCTGTGCTGCCACCAGGGGCTACATCTGGATCCAGGGCCCTGCAGCAGCGGGGGTCTGTTACCATCAAAGGCCAGGCAGATGCCCCTGGTCTGGGCTGTCATCCGGGGACATGTTAATGTCTGAAAGTTGTACAGAACTGGCCCGACCCCTCACTTGGGCATCAAAGGAGAGCTTCCCTCACTCCTAGCCAGCTGCAGTACTAGGAAGAGAGGCCCCACTCCTTGCAAGGAGTTGCTGGTGAGCCGATCCTGAGGACGGGAGACTAGGAGAGCTGGATATGAGCCACCGTTTCCTGAGGGGTGGCATGGACAAAACAAAGATACCTTCCTCCCCTCTTACCCCTCACCAGCTGCAGCAGGTTGGATACCTGGCCTTGGGGTCATTAGAGCAGGAGAGCTGTCCCTGTCTTTCATCAGCAGCAGGCACTCTGGAGAGTGGGCCCTACATCTCACTGGTGTACTGCAGCACAGTAGAGCTGGCCCTGGTGGGGGGAGGGGTGCTTGGGCGAGTGGGCTGTTCCTCTTGTGTGCTGTGTTGTGGTTCAGATGAGGGAGAGGCACCCTCCTCTCCTCCCTTATCCTTTACCACTTAAGGCAGGCTGCAGAGTTGACCCTGGGGTCATGAGAGTGGGAGAACTCGCCATGTCCTTCACTGGCTATAACACTTGGGAAAGTGGGCCCAGAACCTTACCTGGGCAGCAGAATAGAGCTGGCCCTGATGTGTGTGTGTGGGTTCAGATAAGCCCTCCCCAAGTGCCTGAGATCAGGATAGGCAGCAGGGTGACCCTCTCAAATACCTCTCAGGCCCAGATCCAGGGCTTTGAATTGGCCCACCCCAACATGTACCACTTGAATGAATTGCTGGAGTGCATGAGGGGCCAGTCATACAGATCCAAAGCTACAGGAGTTCCATGATAATAGGGCAAGAACAGGATAGCCAATAGGAGCCCTAGAGAGGTTCCAGTATTGATCGAGTAATAGAAGCCAGAGGTCTCATACAAGACCAAGGAATCATTGCAATCAATGAACATATTTGAGCAAAGAATTGTGGACAAAAGGGCACACTGTAGGATACACTGTGATGCACTACAGCTTCCACAATGAGATTTTTATTTTTCTTCTCTGTCAGATGTTGCAAGGGTGGATAAGAGGTATGAAAAGAGGGAGACATGAGTGGGATTGGAGTGCATGATGTGAATTCACAAAGAACCAATAAAAATTAAAAACAATTAAGTCCAGTTAGTAATTATTGTCTTGTGTTTGTACACCAAGAGGCAAAATCAGGCTCCTGTTCTCTGAAGACTAATTGTCTTCACATTTTACACTTAGCTTGCTGGCCATGAAAAACAGGCAGCAGGCTAGGTTTGACTTGTAGAACAAAGCTTACTAGTGTCTGGATCAGATGAAAGTCATCTTAGGCCTCCACTTCTGTTGTTTGGCTTCCGTGTGCTGTAGCCCTCCCAGTTGCCAAATGCTAATTTGTTCTAAGCTACTAGGAAACTTAGGAGGAACTGGAAATATTGACTTCCTGCAAAGCACAGATAATATGGTCTTCTCCAACACCCACAGTGGAGTATAACCGGTATATCCCAGGGCCCAGGTGTGTCCTTAGCATGGTACTAAAGAATAGTATCACGAGTCCATCCAGTCTTGTGATATCCTTCTTTCAGGACACCTGGAACACTTTTCCTCAGCAACACTTCTACTTATGTATCTTTGACTCTAATAACACTTGAAAAGTCCATTTAGTAAATATTTGAAATGGGCACATTTATTGCAGTTTATATCACTGCTAGTGTCTTAGGTGTCCTGGAACAATTGGCTGAGTATGTGGTCAGGTTTTGATCCCATCTTGCCTAAAGTTTGAACTTTCTAAATTTGAGAAACTGTTTAAAATATAAGGAAGCACAGCATTAGCTAAGTTGTCCAGCTCATTTCTTGTGGTCTCTTCTTGTTTTCCCAGCCTTAGCCTTTCCTAGCTCTTTCGGTAACCTTAGATGATTTGGCAGTTGGGTGAAAATCTTGCTCTCTCTCTCTCTCTCTCTCTCTCTCTCTCTCTCTCTCTCTCTGTCTCTCTGTCTCTCTCTCAATCCCAGGTTAACCATCATCATCATCTTTGGTTATTTCAATTTCTGCATGGACAGGTCCACAGAGTGATTCCATTTATTCCACCTGTTGGGTGTACCCTTGCTTCCGCCAGCATTCATAGCCAGCAACGGTCTCATGCTCCCGTTATAGGTCCTTCTGGTTCAAAGCCTCTTGGGAAATCTCCATCAGAGGCATTCTTCAGCCACGTTAGGACTCTCGTGCTTGTATCTCTCTGCTTCCTATACTAGTCTTTCAATTCCTTCCTTTATTCCTCGTTCAGTTCAAGTCTCACAACCTAAGGCAATTTATTGATATTTCTATGCTCTTAAGGGCTATGAAACTTCTGTTTGTCCACCTTGTTCAAATCATAATTCTTCAATGAGCAACTTTTGGATTCTTGGCTTGTTGTACCACAGGAAATAGGACACGGCAGAGAAATTGTTTTCTTTATTGACGCTGAGTAGTCAAGCCCAGGGTCTCATGAGTGCTAGGCAAGAATTCCACCACCGAATCATACTCCAGTCCAAAGAAATAAGTTTTGAAGATTTTTCAATTTAACAAAAAACATGTTTTGTAAACATGTTATTTACTTTCCTCACTTTACCCAAGAGTATATCAGCTACAACTTAGACATTGTAAGATCTATCTACATAACACTAGTAATATTGAATTCTCTACATATCTTCTGATGTAGAATCTGGCTTGTATAACTGATGTTATTCCCCAGAAACAGTCACTTAAATTTAATTTACCTTTTTTTTTTTGAGCATCCAAATTGAATGTCGGAGGCAGAATTGGAAAATAAATATAATGGAAATACGTTTTTGTGTGTCACGGATCTATTTCTTTTTGTTAATATAACAGAAGCATGCCATTTGGCATAATCAAAAGGGATGAAAGTGAATATTTTGGGGAAATAAAATAAAATCTTGAAGCCCAAGATGTCAAACAAACCAAGTTAAAAATTATGAATATGTGGATATGGAACAGCGGGGAGAGTACCTGTTTAAATTATCGACATTGGTACCTACGTTCCTTGTATAGATAACAGTACTTTTTGCATGCATATAAGTGTGCATGTGTGAATGTGTGTGTGAGCGTGTGTGTGTGTGTGTGTAGACACACATATATGTGAAGGATGAAGGATGTCTAGGCTGAATGCCTTACTCAGTCATTCTCTACCTTAATTTTTTGAGACAGGCTCTAGTAGTGAACTGAAAGCTCACAGATCAACAGGGCTAGCTGGCCACTGAAGTCCAGGGATTGTCCTGTCTCTGCTTCCCTAGCTCTAGGATCCCAGTGCACACCACCACATCTGCTTTCTAAAGTTGTGGGTGCTGGGGATCTGAACTCAGGTCCTTCAGCTTTTGCAATGGTCACTCTACTGCCTGAGTCAAGTTCCTAGCCATTAGCAGTTTTAGTCTGGAAAAAATAATCACTTATTAATAGGTTTTGCTGTTAATAAAAATAACAGTTATGTTTTATTAAGTACAGTAATAGCTGTGTCAAAAAAATGGAAAAATTGCTTTTAAGTAGCAATGATTTTCCTTTGACTCTATTATAATTTTAGAAACTTACTTAAAAAGAATGCTTTGATTGCCTTATTCACCAAACCCCATATTATATTTCAGTACATCTTTTAACTTACAGAAGAATTTAATTTGAGTATTTTAATAGGAATTTTTTGCTTTTATTTTAAATTGTCTTGTGACAAAAGCTTTGAGATTAATTTTAATATTCATAAAAAAGATTAGATGACTCAATTCAAATATCCATTTGAAGGCAGATTGAAAAAATACGTAGCATTCTTTAAAAATAAAGCTAGATAAAAGTAGTTGACATGACAGACCCAGGACCTGAAGGGTGATTGAGGTCCAAGGGACTGAGTTCTGCTTGTAGGATCCTACTCAGAGACATACATGTTAAGTCGTGGCATTTTTTGCCAGCTGTCCTGGAGAAAGTATGTGGTTTAGGAGAATTTAATATTAATTGAGCTCAGCATAAAAGATCAACATAGAAAGTATTCTGCATTATAAAAACAGAGTATGAAAATTAATGCATAGATCTATTGGCTTATGTATTATGTATCAATCAAAGAATGAAATACCTTGAAGTAAGTCCGATATATAACATTCAGGATTTTTGGGCTAAAAAAAGTATAATTGGTTCTGGAGGAAAGACAATCAGTTTTCTATGGGGACTTGACTCCCCAAAGCATACAGTAGATGTTCCTATATCTAAGGGGCACCACAGGCCCAACATAACAGCATCTGTCAAGGACCAAAACCTCTGAAGTTGGGAGGCCAGACAAACCTTTCCTTTCTTAAAGTTGTTACTGTATTAGTCAGGGTTCTAAAAGAACAGGACAGGTAGAATGAACATATATATTTAAAGAGGATT